CCAAAATACATAAAGGGATGCATACAGCAATGCGTAACCAAAAGAGAAAATTACCAAAAGGCAACTGTCTCTCTAAGCTAACCCTATGTCTTCTAATGTAACACCTTCATAGGTGTTCTAATCTGGTAACTCAACCTAAATATCTGATGCCCCAGGTAAAAAAAATCCTAAATCATCATCAGTGCAAAGTGCTCATGAAGTGCTAAAATGAAAATAATCCGACGTGCGTTTCGGCATGGCCACACGCCGTCCTCAGGGGTATCGCAAATAAAGCTATCCCAACGGTATAATATATACCCATTATGTATTGCATTCACCTGTGTGCCAGCCAATAGTGGCGTTATGCTGTACCGATCGTCCTACCAATAGTGTTGTGGGGGTGTAGTATTAATCTCCACGATCCCTGCCCATAGAGCATAATAGAATTATATACTAGCGAATTGATACTTTAGTGAAACCTAAATTTGTAACGGACCTTTTTTGATGAACGTACAGAGAATCAAAGGGGAAGTTTGGTTTTAACTAAAACTGCCTAACTAATTAAGATACCTTAATGTAAATAGAAAGCATGAATAATGGGAAACTAGCTTGAACATTTGTGTTACTCTGATTAAAATAAATATTTATGTTAGCTTTAGTTCCTTATGACACGCTGTATGCTACTGTATTTTAATAAACATGAATATAAATTGTGCAATTCAGCAATTCAGGTTGTGTACACATTTAATTCATCATGAATCGTAGACCTTATGTTCAAACTGTCATTTTAAACTGCACGAATTATTAAACATATTTGCCTATATGCATGAAATGAATATAAACTAAATATTTTTAACGAACGATAAGCAAACTGAGTATCACATGGTAGCGTTTGTATTGGCGAAACTACTCACAATTGAAATCCAGAACATGCCGAAGGAAGTCTGTTCATATGTTATACTCACGACTCGACCAAGGTTTTTTGCCGAACGCTGTGTATCGCGTACTCGTGTGTGTCGGAAATGATGTCAGAGGTCTGCGCAACCCGGAAGAGGAATTTCCGGAATCGACGAAGACAGGTAAGCAAGGGGTTTACTGGGTTATATAGGCCTTAAATCCCTCCCACAACTTCAGGCATACGCCTTCTATATATGATCTAAGTATATGTATATATACACTTACACATACATACACATACACTGTCTAAGTGTATTTTAATATTAATATATATATATATAATCATATATATTAATATCAAACTACACCTAGAATGATATTGATTAAATATATATATACATATAATTAGAATGATATATATATATATATGTAATATACAAGATCCAGCGCACTCACCTATCCACTAAACAGCAACTTCAATGTTGAAAGATTTGATTTGTTTTTTAAAAACACCTAATCTAGGCAAAAATAATGGGGGTTTAGTTACATTATATGATCATACATTGCATAAGCCTGCCACAACGTCAATGTACCCCATCTTTGGCAGGTCCTACTCTCACAGTCTAATGTCTGCTCTTATGTGATTAACCCACTTACTTGGTTAAAATAAGAGAGCCCCAGATGGAATTTTTTTTCCCAAGTAAGTGGGTTAATCTCATAAGAGCAGACATTAGGCTGTTAGTGTAGGACCTGCCAAAGATGGGGTACATTGACGTTGTGGCAGGCTTATGCAATGTATGATCATATAATGTAACTAAACCCCCATTATTTTTGCCTAGATTAGGTGTTTTTAAAAAAACAAATCAAATCTTTCAACATTAAAGTTGCTGTTTAGTGGATAGGTGAGTGCGCTGGATCTTGTGTATTGTATTATTTGGCCCCCAGCAGCACCCCCATTTATGCATGTTCAGGTGAGTGCAGCCAACCCCCTCTTGTTTCATATATATATATATATATATATATATAAATTTAAAAAAAAAAGTAAATAAGTAAAAAAAAATATATATATATGTGTGTGTAATTTAATTCTAACCAATATATATATTGATATCAAAGTACATGTAGAAATAAATAATATATATATATATATATCTCTATATACATAAGTATATACGTATATATCACTATATACCGTATATACTCGAGTATAAGCCGAGTTTTTTGGCACATCTTTTGTGCTGAAAAACCCCAACTCGGCTTATACTCGAGTCAATGTCTGTATTGTGGCAATTTACATTGCAACAATACAGACCAGGACCGTCGGGCTCATTACAAGCTTGGCGGTCCTGTTGGGGGCTGACAAGGAGCTCTTACTTACCTTCCTGCAGCTCCTGTCAGCTCCCTCCTCCTCCGTACAGCTCCCCGGTCAGCTCCTTTCTGCTTACAGTGTAAGTCTCGCGAGAGCCGTGAGTCTCGCAAGATTTACACTGTAAACAGAATGAGCTGACCGGGGAGCTGCACAGAGGAGGAGGGAGCTGCAGGAAGGTAAGTAAGAGCTCACTGCCAGCCCCCCCCACTGAACTGCCAATGCCACTGGACCACCAGGGATTTAATATTATTTTATTTTAATAATAATATAATAATATTATTAAAATAATATTATTATTATTTTAATATTTGCATTATTTAAAAAAAAAAAATTGTCCCCCCTCCCTGCTTGTTGCCTGGCCAGGGAGGGGGGACAAAAAACATTTTTTTAAAAATAATGCAAATATTAAAATAATATAATAATAAAATAATATTATTATTATATTATTATATTATTATTATTTTAATATTTGCATTATTTTTTTTTTATGTTTTTTGTCCCCCCTCCCTGCTTGTTGCCTGGCCAGGGAGGAGGGGCAAAAAACATTTTAAAAAAATAATGCAAATATTAAAATAATAATAATATAATAAAATAATATTATTTTAATATTATATTTTATTATTATTATATTATTTTAATATTTGAATTATTTTTTTAAAAATGTTTTTTTGTCCCCCCTCCCTGACCAGGCAACAAGCAGGGATGGGGGACAATAATGCAAATATTAAAATAAAAATAATATTATTAAAATAATAATATAATAATAATATTAAAATAATATAATAAAATTTAAATAAAAATGCCCTCCCCTCATCCAGTTTACACACACTGCACAAACACTGCATTATATACACACTGCATTATATACACACACACAACACACAAACACACACACACACTGCATTCATTATATATACACACACAAACACACACTCTGCATTCATTCTATACACACACAAACACACACACACTCTGCATTCATTTTATACACACACTGTAAATAAATATTCAATTAATGTAATTTTATTGGGATCTAATTTAATTTATAAATTTACCAGTAGCTGCTGCATTTCCCACCCTAGGCTTATACTCGAGTCAATAAGTTTTCCCATTTTTTTGTGGTAAAATTAGGGGCCTCGGCTTATATTCGGGTCGGCTTATACTCGAGTATATACGGTATATACCTGTATATATAAATAAAAATAATTTTAAAAATTATATATATATATATATATATATATATATATACACACATACGTATATTAATTCTACGTATATATTTTTGTAATATTTCTACATAATTAGGTCATTTTATTAATTACAATTAATGACAACCCAGGCAGAAAGTCCAGGGAATTTAATTTGCTATCACTATATTTAACCCTGTAACTGTTGAAGACACCAGAAAACCTGTACATGGGGGGTACTGTTTTACTCGGGAGACTTCGGTGAACACATTAGTGTTTCAAAACAGTAAAATGTATTACAACGATGATATCGTCAGTGAAAATGAAATGTTTTGCATTTTTCACACACGAATGGCACTTACACTGACGATATTGTTGAGATACGTTTTACTGTTTTGAAACATAGTATAACAGTATCCCTCATGTACAGGTTTTATGGTGTTTTCAAAAGTTAGAGAGTCAAATTTAAGGTTTGCATTTCAGTTTTTTCACATTGAAATTCACCAGATTGGTTACATTGCCTTTGAGACAATATGGTAGCCCAGGAATAAAAATTACCGCCAAGATGGCATACCATTTGCAGTAGTAGACAACCCAAGGTATTGCGAATGGGGTATTATTATTATTATGGGTATGTCCAGTCTTTTTTAGAAAAAAAAAAAGACTGGACATACCCCATTTGCAATAACTTGGGTTGTCTACTATTGCAAATGGTATGCCATCATGGGGGTAATTCTCATTCCTGGGCTACCATACGGTCTCAAAGGCAAAGTAACCAATCTGGTGAATTTCAATGTGAAAAAACTGAAAGATGTAACATGCTATATTTGACCCTGTAACTTCCCAAAACACCATAAAACCTGTACATATGGAGTACTGTTTTACATGTGAGACAACACTGAATACAAATATGTATTTTATTGCGGTAAAAGCAAACCGTTTTATCACATTCACAGTTAAAATGTCATGCAGAACTAAAAAAAATTAAATTCCTTATTTTCTCCCATTTTTTTATATTTTATTCATATTAAATTATGTGTCATGGCTAAATATTTGATATGAAATGAAAGCCCTGTTTCCCCTGAATAAAATTATATATAATAAGTGTGGGTACACTTAATATGAAAGAGGTGAATTACGGTTGAACAGACATATAGTCCAATTTTTCTCCCTCTTGTATAGACATATAGTCAAATTCCAGGTTTTGTTTACGTTTTGTTTTGATCACAACCCGTACCTTTGGCTCAGTCCTTAAGGGGTTAATTTCCACTCGTCTCTGTTAGTTGACAGCCAGTGTTGATTTTTCACTCCTCACAAATACATATTTATTAAGGGGACACTATTGACGGCAATGTTTACAATGGAGGCTTTACATGCACTTAAGAAAAGAGATTTATACATGTAATATGTGATTTTCAATGTTGTGTAAATTCCAGAGAAATTAATTTATACCACACATTTTTTTATGTAGTGAAAAATATATACATCTTCTAGATGGCATGACAAAGAACCCAACATGTTTTCAAAATGAACAGGCTAACGCCTCTTTTGGTCCAAGCAGGACATCCGTTTTATGCTACATGAAAAGACAGCACCAGGTCACTCCAGACACTATAACTATTTGAATGAGATGAATAAGTTACAGTGCCTACCATGTCCCTTTAATGACAAGACAATGATGAAAAGCAATGCCGAACTATTTTGCTCCCTAATGTATGGGATGAACAAGGAAGAAAATGAACCAAAAACACATAATTAATCATCAGACTTATATCTACATTGAGAGAGAGAGTCATATTTATTAGTCATAGCATAACAAAGGTAACTCCTTGACATATTACTAAAATTGAACAGCTTTATAGTGACTAATCCCATCCTCCAGTTGTGTTTTAAACATACTTCTTCATAAACTATTTACTCTTTTTGATTGAATCCATGTGAATGGTATGATCCAAAGTTAGCTGTTCAGTCATTTTAAAATCAGAACAGGTATGCCTGACAGCAAACTTAACTAATGAATGGAAGTGTTATATTTTGGTTCATAAGGTGCTAATGATGGAATTTCTTTAAGGATGGTCCACAGCTATAAGACCCTCCAGCAAAAGGTTGAAAACAACTCATTGATGACAGAGACTAAACTGAAACAGACAGGCTACAGTTAACCAGCTGACTACCCTGATGATTTGCATCGTGCACAAAGATGTCTATGCGCAGTGACACACATAGGACCTTGGAGAAAATATATACATTTCCATTCCTTTCAGAAAAATGCAAAAGAAAACCAATAAACCATGGTCATAACCACTTATGGAATCCTCCCTGGTACAGTGACATGCCTTTCAGAAAAAAAAGCACCATAGGACGTGCTAGTATGTTGCATTCCTTAGCAATCTACGACTAGAGCTCTACATATTTCAGAAAACAATAAGAAACTGTTGCAATGGTTAGGCTGGATACTGAAAGATGGCAGAAATAGTGCCTGCTGTTTTTATGCTTTCAAGAGAAGACCACAAGAGGATCACCATAATACTACATGCCAATATTTCATGGTGGTGGTTGGGGATACTAGGCTCTTGATAAAACTGGAACATCTTAAAGACCCAGTATCTTTACATCCCTTGTTTATCCCTTGAAGGCTGCGGTAGATCCATCTGTTAGATCCAAAGGTGCCACCAGCAGTGGACTGCCCAGTAGTGAGATGTCAGTCAACTTCAAAATACATGGGATGACTATGACCCAGCTATGCAAAATATTTAACCAATAGCATCCAGCTACCTCCAACTTGTTCTAACAGGTAAAAGTGTGCGCCATTCAACATAGGGAAGGTATTTGTAATATCATGTGCACTCTATATGCCCTCTTTAAGATAATAGCCATCTCATTCTGTAAAATAACCATTGATTTTACATCTTCTTATTGCTTTGTATAGTTTAATGTTTAGAGTAGGCAAATCATAAACAACCTCCATGTCAAACATTTTCTGGAATTTGGCAAAAAAATTATTCTCTATAATTGTATTTTCTTTTCTAAATTTCATTGCCCAGAAGATAGTGGTATGATTCTGGCATAAGTGATCAAATGTTGCTAACAGCTCCTCCAGATAGGGGTGATTATAAACCACATCGGCTGCAAGAATGTAATCAAAACATAATGAGGATTTTGGAAATTTCTCCTCCAGCTCAGATCCCCAATTTAGCACATTCACTTGAGGAACATGTTTGCATTTCAGTTTGGTGTTTCGATAAACATTATATTGTAGGTTTCCAAGGAGTTCCGTCAGATCCGTTGCTGTAACTTTTGCTCCTATAAAAGTGCATGTAGAAAAATAGCCCATTAAATTAAATATGTAGGGTTCTACAAATCAGGGTCACAATCACACATTGATATAGCATAATCCCCATTTCTCAGAAAAGGCAATGTTTACTCTGCTGAGGCTGCAGATATGGTTTCTTTACACCAGAACCACTACATTAAGCTGTAGTGGTTCTACTGCTTAGAGTGTCCCTATAATGCATGCAAATGGCAATATGTGTGTGTATATTATGCCATATTTTGCTAAAATGGCAATATGTGTGTGTATTAACAAACATTAACCAGCTTAGATGTTTTTTTGCATAAACAGAGTATTCAAGGATATAATTAATATGTATGTAAACAAGTTGTCGAACCAAGGAGAAATCTGATTGCCATTATGGAGTCAAGAAGATTTTTTATTTATTTTTTGCGGCTTAATTGGAAATGGCTACACTTGTTTTTTTGTTTTTGCCTTCTTTTTGATCAGCAGCCTAAAAGAATGGGTTTCAATGTTGAACATCATGGACTTTAGTCTGTTTTCAACCTACATGACTATATAACATTAGCTTTATTTCATCTAAACTCAAAAAAAAGATGAAATATGTATTTGCAATCACGTTATGAGAGCCATGATACAGCGAATATAGATACCCATGATCCAATCTACTGTATTCTGCGTGAACTTTAAATCTTCAGTATGTCCACTGGCGTACATACCGCGGTCGCAGGGGTCGCAGCTGCGACCAGGCCCGTCACTCCAGGGGGCCCGGCCGCCCTGCAGACCCCTGCGACCAAGGACCCACCGCCATGTTTTGCATCCCTGGCCCGTGCGGCAAACCACCAAGGCCGCACATGAAGGGGCCCATCGGGTAGCCCATGCTGTTAGGGCCAACCGATGGATATGGATTTTTAGGTGGCCCGGTCAGTGCTGCAGCATCAGATGACATCAGACAGAGCTGGGAGGAAGTGACTGCCCCAGTCACTCCTCCCAGCTATCAGAGAGCTGCGCGTGAGGAAGGAAAGGAGGGAGTCAGAGTGGGAACATCAGGCTGAGCCCCCACTGGACCCCAGGGAACGTCACACTCCTGCAAAAGGTAGGAAACAGGAGGGTTACTTAAACATTTTGTGTATGTGTGTGTCTGTTTGTGTGTATGTGTGTGTCTGTATGTGTGTGTCTGTATGTGTGTGTCTCTGTATGTGAGTGTGTGTGTGTGTGTCTGTGTGTGTGTGTGTATGTATGTGTCTGTGCCTGTCGGGGGGTGTATGTGTGTGCATGTCTGTCTGTATGTGTGCATGTATGTGTCTTAATGTATGTATGTGTGTCTGTATGCATGTCTGTATGTATGTGTCTGGGGGGGCCAACGTATCGGGGGGGGGGCACGGATCGGCTGGGGGGCAATGGATCAGTTTCGCACCGGGGCCCAATGGATTGTGTGTACTCCACTGAGTATGTCTTTTGGTCCTGTTTCCAGATGGTTCTTGCTATTTTGTGGCAATGATTCTTGCATCAAAATAGACATATGAGGTGCAGGGGCTTGAAGTGGAATACGTCAAGTTCTTGCCACTCCAATTTCCCCTGTGGCATTTTGGAATGGGCCAGTGCATATAACATAATAATGTGTGTATATATTTTTCAGTACACTGGTAGGTGTATTTTCTCACCATTTGAATCACAGATTAAATGAAAAAAAAACCAAGAGAGAAAAAAAAAAGAGAAGGAGCAGTAAAATTAAATAAATAAATAATTAATTAAAACAATATTTATATATATATATAAAATTTATAGAGATCATTTTGGTACTACTACTCCTTTTTTCGCTCTGTTGGCCAATTCTCAAGTTTTTATAGAAAGAAGGAAATTTAAAAGTGTGAACCAATAACCACTTACCCATTAGACTAGCTACTATTGAAGCAAGTCCAGTTCCAGCTCCTAGTTCAATAACATGCTGGTCTTCTATAGAAATCTGTTCTCCATATTTTTCTAAGAAATAACACAATACAAGGGCCTGTAAAATTAGAGCAAAAATGTCAATGATTAAGTATGCTAAATAGATCCAGAAACTACATGAGCAACAGGGCCAAAGCTAGAGAAGTTGAAATTTCATGTATGTTCTGTTTTTACATAACTTTAAGATAAAGCTTCAACCTGCGAGAGTTATTAGTATACAGGTAATTATTTTTATAAGCTAGATTGTATTTTCATGATTGCACAGAAATATATGAAATCAAGCAAAAAAAAAAATCTGTGATAGGACAACTGGTGATGTGATGGTGAAACCACAAGGCAACATCGAGGAAGCTAGCTAAAAGATTGACTGTAATACATGATTTGAGAAATTCAAGTATATATTAATCATTAAGGATTCACCAATGGCTTTCGTAATGGTCTTGTTCAATTGAACCCCTCTCCCCTTGGATAATATAGTACAGCGTCCAATTGGTGACAGATTTAAGGGGAGTGTTAAAGAAAGATTTAAGATCTGTTTTTGGCAAAAGATGGTAATATATCAGTTTTGAGTCAAATGTTGGCCTCTATGTAGAAGTATACTGACAATCAGGAGTTGTCTCACAGATCAGCCACTGGATGGATTTCTGGATATGACAGCAAGACTATCCCAGGGTATTTTGATAAAGAAGTACTACTAGAGGAAAGGGGTAGAAAGTATAATTAAGATCTAGTATGCTGTAGGTGAGATGGTGCAGGCTTGTAACAATGAGCTTTACCTACGGATTTTACACCTACAAAAGCAACTGGACAGAACGATCATGAGACATGCTGCCATTTAACTTAAAAGAGAAGAAAAGATCCAAAACATGGCCTGTTTTCTGGGTTAAAACTATGAATATGCATTAGAATCTTGAACCAGTGTATAAGATATATATAAACAGGAAATAACCAGAGAATGAGCAACACAAATGAATAAATAGTTTTAGCTATTATTTCAGCTATTGTTATTTGAGAAAACACACTTTCAATACTCCTTAGAATAAGGAGGCACTAAAATCACTACAGGCAGCTGTAGAGGTTATGGTACTAGTTGTGTTCCTTCAATGCACCACTTTGAATATATGGTCATATTTGAAAACAAGAGAAATCTCAATGTATCCTTCCTGGTAAAATATTTTATGAATAAATAAACAAATGTTCCCACATCAGAGTATGCAAACACATCATGCAATAGATAAATAGATACAAATCAGGTGGCGTGTACAGGTGGACCTTTGGTTCAGGTAACACAGACAACTGAAAGCATATAAAAACAGAACACAACCTAGTGCAATACAGTCTGATAGATATACTGTTATAATAATCTGAAGGTGTTGTACTCACAAGTCCAGAGCCAACTCAGTTAGGCTCAATGTGCAGGCTGGTGGGAATATAAGAAGGGATCCCACTCCCTCTATTGAATAGAATAGGGTAGTATGCCAAAAAATCCTCCACTCAATGACAATCCAGGGCTTCAAAAGATGAAAATAAAATCTGATTTATTGAAACATAAATAGAAAATAACAAGCAATGAATACTGCAAGGTCTCTAAAAACGTAAATAAAAGATGCTTGCAAAACGCGTTTCGCCTAAATAGGCTTAATCGGTTGCATGGGCTTCTTCCTCTTGCGTTAGTCTTATATGGCCCCCTTCTAATTGTTGACCCAGGTCTCCTGTGGCAGCCATGGGTGACTTCTGGCTTTTTCCTATAATGTATCTCCCCACCGTCCTCCATCTAGTGATGCGCTTCCGGTTGAGATCTGTGTATGGAATGCATATGCGTTCCACCTTCGGAATACACTTGGAACGCACATGCGTTCCACCTTCAAAAAAACTCTCTATTGTCCATTCAAATGTCCATTTAAATGTCCACACTCTGTGCTTAATTCCGAAAAATGGATGAAAGAATAGGAATTCACTTATAATAGCATATAGAATAAAAATCCAAAGGAATGTGTAAAACCATTCACAGAAAAGTTGAAATAAACATTAAATGCAATATATGAGGTAGACAGCAAGGATAAATAGCAGGCCTGCTATTCATCCTTGCTGTCTACCTCATATATTGCATTTAGGTTGTGTTCTGTTTTTATATGCTTTCAGTTGTCTGTGTTACCTGAACCAAAAGTCCACCTGTACACTCCCCCTGATTTGTATGTATACATTTTGCTTTTTGTGTGAAGAGAGAGGTGACCACACAGGTGTTAGAGTGTGGTGGTACCTATTTGGTGTTGCGCACTGAGACTTTGTAAGTTTGTCTACAATAGAGTCCAATAGAGATTCTCATTGTAATATGTTAAAATTCTCATCTCCTGTTTATTAAAACACCCGGTGAAATTATATATAAACAGCAATCAGGACAGAGTTCTAAAGCAGAGCAATAAGCAGAAACTGTCCATTGAATTCTATTGTGAATTTTCTGCTTTTGCCCCAGAATCACTTTTCTTATAGAACTCTAAATCTTAATATGAAATAAAGATCCAAACATACTGAGGGCCAAACTGTAGCTCCATACAAATCTGTCGCTTCCACAATTTTTATCTCATGACCAGCAAAGGTGAAGCCTTCCCAAGCCACATTTGTTAGATAAGGAGGTATATATTGCCTTTCCAGGATGGCTGGTACCATAAAGTCATCATTGGTAGGTTTCTCTGTGAACATAATGGGGATAACAATCAAGCAAACGTACATGATGGAATCGTAAAGTAACTTCAATTGTTAAAATAGTGACAATTTTCTACTAAAATGTATTATTTTAAACTTTACCTTGTTTATCTTCCATGTTATATATTCTTGAGCAGACATTTAATCATTACATTTGATTCATTTAGAATGATTAATTCCTGCAAGAGAAATAAAAAATGAAAAACAATCAGTTTATTAAATACACAATATTCTAAAAATATATAGATAATTGACGTTGTGATCCCCCTTTTATACAGTTATTTCAACTACAGAATTTCCAAATTATGAATTTAGTTTAAAGGAACACTAGAGGGGCGGATTCTGACTGCCAAGCTGAACAGATGTGTGGGGAAGGAGCTCCCAGCGGGCGAGCAGAAAATAAGGCGATATTAGCAGCTGTGTAGCCCAAAGACCTACCAGGAGACTCTACCCACGTCGGGGGAGCTCCAAAGAATCGGGGGATACCCTTTTAGAACCTGTAGGGGCACATAGACCGCAATGCAAATTGAGGCCTGCAGGAGTTGGAGCCGGGGAGAGGCGGCCGCCCTCTTCGACACCGGATACCCCAGAAAGCACTACTGACCTCCTCCTACCCCCCTCCCCCCCCCCGGACCGGTGGGGGATATCCCGGCCCCCACAAGATAAGCAGGCTAACATCGAAAGCAAGGGAGACAATCCCGACGCCGATAAGGAGACCCACTGCGGACCTTCAGGAAGGCAGTCTGGCCACACAGGCATCGACCCACGACAGGGCGGGAAACAAACCTCACCGACCCGGGGATACACACCCACCTCCACACACGGGTAAGGAGAGGGCTGGGTACCCCCAAGGCCTTGGCAACATGCCAAAGCACAACACCACAAACCAACAAGCTCCCATGCGGCGACCCAAGGCTAAAACCGAGCAGCGCGCTGCGGCAAGGGAGACAGACACACCACACTGAGGCGCTGGGAGAGCAGGGTTTGCAGAAGCCATACGGACACTTCAGACGCAAGGCACCCCCCTGCCCAGTATAGGCATCGGCTGACTGCCCATGAGACTACCCACGAGTTAGGCCGCACAGCTGACCGTCATCTGCCTTTAACCTGCAGCGATACAACAGACTGGTGACTTTCATACTTTGTATGCAAGACGGTTGAGACTTGATTACATGCTATCTCTGCTACTAAACATGCCTTGCCTAACACAAGTAATTTTGTCTAAGCTCCAGACATATCTCCTGGCATGAGTCCTTTACTTAAAAATGTTATTGAATATGATGCCAGACAGGCTTTACCTTGGACTCACAAGCCAGTTATGACAATTGAATTGAACCGCTTATTGCTTCTCTACAGTTAGGCGTATGTTGCAGAGCCAGCTTGTTTTAGCAATATAAGTACTATTCTCATGTTTTCCGTTTTCTACTATGCACCTGTCAGCAATCGGGGTACAACAGTTCAGCATGTCTAGCTTTTGCACTCTGTGTGATAGACAGCCTAGCAAGTATCTGTTCCTTGAATCCTGAGTCAGTTAAGCATTACTACCTACTAAATCTTAAGCTCACAGGTCCCTCCTTATAATATTTAAAAATAGAAGCCCCCCATGTGTATAGTATGCAGTGTGTGTAGTGAATGCATTTTGTGTGTGTGCGTGTTTATAGTGGATGCACAGTGTGTGTATGTGTATAGTGGATGCAGTGTGTGTGTGTATAGTGGATGCAGAGTGTGTGTTTCTTTTTTAGTTTCTAATACCTCTCCTTTGTGTGTATCTTTCTCCCCCCAGCCCATCTGTCTGTCTTTTACTCCCCTCAGCCCTAAGTGGGTGTTTCTTTCCTTCCTTCCCAGCACCTTGTCTCTTTCTCCCTCAAGCCCCTGTGTGTCTCTTTGTCTCCACCCAGCCCCTCTGTGTCTCTACCCCTTCCCCAATTCTCTGAATCCTCCCAAACCATATCTGTCTCTTTTGCCCCTTCTCGTTGTGTCCTCGCAGCCACTTTGTGTCTGCTTGTGTCCCATCAGCCCCTTTGTCTTTGCCTGTGTCTTATCAATATATTTTGTGTCTGCCTGTGTCCCCTCAACCCATTTTGTGCATCCCCTTAGCCCCTCTGGGTGTTTTCCCCCCAGCGCTGGTCTGTTTCTGTCCTGCCCTCAGCCCTTGTCTGTTTCTGTCCTCCCCACAGCCCTTGTCTTTTTCTGTCATGCCCATGCCAGCTCACATCCCTCCCTCTTGTAGTGTGGCCCAGACACGGACATGGATAGAGGAACTTATTTTTCTCTCCCCAGTCTGACAGGAAGCAGTTCGGTGCTCTCTGTAAAAAGTTCCTCTACCTCTGTCCGCGGCTAAGCCATGCTAATACCATGCCTGATATCGACAATACATTAGTTCACATATGTCCATGCATGAAAATGCTGCCAGTGACGAACTACATCTGATAGACCTCTGCTGGGCAGGCGCTTTAAAGTAATGATTTAAGTAAGTAAGATGTTATGCCATCCCATCCCTGTCCCCAACAAAATGAGAATTTCATAAAGATAGAATACTTTATCTCTAAAATATTTGGTCTCAATTTTATATCTAAGCTTGACGAAAGTTTCAAAGTTGCACTCCTGAAGGCAACAGAAAATTGCATTAGGCTTGTCAGTTAAAGCAAAAAAATTAAGAAACCACTGTGGTACTCCGCAGATGTGGCCAAAATAGTAAAAAAACTAAAAGTTAGCATTTAGTAATTGTAAAAAAAAACAGAGTGAGGAAGACAGAATGATCTATAAGATTAGGCAGAAAGAGGCTAAGCAAGTTATAAGAGCCTCCAAAGCACACACAGAAGAGAAAATAGCACAGTCACTAAAAAAGGGTGACAAAACATTTTTAGATACATAAATGAGAAAAGGAAAGTAAAACAAGGATTAGTTAGATTAAAAACAAAAGAAGGAAGGTATGTAGAAGAGGATAAAGGTCTAGCTGACTCCCTCAATTAATATTTTTGTTCAGTATTTACAGATGAAAATGAAGGAAAGGGGCCTCAGTTAGGAAAAAGGACACATGAGGCATTTGTTACATGTGAGTTTACAGAGGAAGAGGTTCTATTTCAACTGTCAAAAGTAAAGACAAATAAGTCAATGGGACCTGATGGAAACACCCAAAATTATTAAAAGAGCTTAGTGGTTTACTAGCAAAACCATTAACAGATTTATTTAAAAAATAATTGTTAACAGGAGTAGTCTCAGAAGATTGGAAGTTAGCGAATGTTGTGCCAATTCACAAGAAAGGTAGTGGGGAAGAGTTGGGCAACTATAGGCCAGTAAGCCTTACTTCAGTAGTGGGGAAAGTGATGGAAACCATGTTAAAGGATAGGATTGTTGAACATCTAAAAACACATGGATTTCAAGATCAGAGACAACATAGGTTTACTTCAGGGAGATGTATGAAGTAAAGCCATGTTGTCTCTTATTGAATTTTTTGATTGGGTAACTAAAATAGTAGATCAGGGTGGTCCAGTAGACATTGCTTACCTAGATTTCAGATAGGCATTTGACACTGTTGCACATTGGCTTATCAATAAACTGTTTGGATTCCAAAATTGTTGAATGGGCAAGGCAGTGGCTGAGTGACAGGCAACAGATGGTTGTAGTCAATGGAGTATATTCGAGGCATGGGCTTGTCACCAGTGATTTATGTACTGCTGTGTGTGACCTAGTGTGGAGGGAGGCCTGTGACCAAGTAAGACAGAACCTCAGGGATCTGTACTTGGACCCATTCTCTTTAATATTGTTATTAGTGATATTGCAGAAGGTCTTGATGGTAAGGTATGTATTTTTGCTGATGATACTAAGATATGTAACAGGGTGTATGTTCCAAGAGGGATAAGCCAAATGGCAATTGATTTAGGTAAACTAGAAAAATGGTCAGAGTTGTGGAAACTGACATTTAATGTGGATAAGTGCAAGATAATGCATCTTAGATGTAAAAACCCAAGGGCAGAGTACAAAATATTTGATAGAGTCCTAACCTCAACATCTGAGGAAAAGGATTTAGGGGTAATTATTTCTGATGACAGAGAGATTAGGAAAGGACAGGTAGATTCTGCATTGAAATGATAACGGAAGCCAAAGGAGCTGATGAGTTTACCAAGGGAGGCAGTATAGATAGAGAACAGTACCCCTACTGAACCTTGGGGGACACCGACCGAGAGTAGTTGGGGGGAAGAGGCAGAGTTAGAGAAATAAACACTGAAAGAGCGCTGGGAGAGGTAGGAGAAGCACCAGGAGAGCAGTATCCTGTAAACCAAAATTACGGAGAATGTGAAGAAGCTATTGATGATCAACAGTGTCAAAGGCAGCAGAAAGATCAAGGAGAATTAGGATAGAGTAATGGCCATGAGATTTAGCAGCAATTAAATTGTTGGATACTTTGGTCACAGCCGTTTCAACAGAATAACTAGAGCGGAATCCAGACTGAAGGGGGTTGGATTCGAGAAAGTCAGTAAATCTGGTGTACACAACTCTCTCGAGGATCTTGGAGGCAAATAGCAGTAGCGAGATAGGGCGCTAGTTGGATGGAGAGTTGGGGTCAAAGTTTTTAGGATCGGGGTTACAGTTGCATGTTTGAAGAGGGAGAGAAATTTGCCAGAGGAAAGGGAGAGATTGAAAATTTTAGTGAGACATTTAAATACATAAAGGGAATAAACACAGTAAAAGAGGATACTATATTTAAAAGAAGAAAAACTAGGGGGCGGAGCCAAGCCACTGACCTGGATGGACGCACGATACATGAGCTCCATGCAGACAACCGATTTAACTGGCAACTAAAAAGGTTTTATAATACACATCACATACCTGCAACTGACCCCTACGACATTGGGAGAAAAACTAAGAAACCCAGACCCGAAGAGCAGAAAATGGTCATGAGTATAGGAGACCTCTGGCACCAGGCCCAGAGCAGCGCGGATCCGAAAATGGCCGACTTCTCCGACGACACAGAGATTTCCGATGACATCTCCCTGGGGATGACAGCGGGATACCCGCCGGAGCAGAGGGCCATCAGACCTCCCACCTCTCACCCAGACTCAGCCCCGGTGACAACGGCGATCATGAGGAATCTGCTCGCAGACCTCCAGCGCACAATACAAGCCGACATGGCCCACTTCCGGAAAGACATACCAGGTCTCACAAGCTGCATGGGGGCGCTGGAAAGTGACACACGCCATAACACCCAGAAAACAGCAGAACTCCAACGGGCAGTTCACGACCTACAACTACAATGGACGAAATCAGACACAAGGTTTGCAATACTAGAAGACCAGAGGCGCAGACTAAACCTCAAAATTAGAGGTATATCGGAGAACACACTGGAGACAGAGCTACCACACCTCCTAAGGATACTACTCACAGCGCTAATATCACCTAAGCAAGCAAAACAGGTGGGACTGGAGGGAATATTCCGCCTGCAAAAGTTGCCTAAAGCACCAACCTCAGCACCAAGAGACCTCCTGGTCAGATTCCAAAGCGGCAAGGACAAAGCAGCTGTCATGGCCACCGTCCAGAACCACGCACCTTACACCTTCGAAGGCATGCCGCTCACATTCTTTGCAGACTTATCTGGGAGCACAATGGCATGGAGGAGATCACTCCAGACCTTTACTTCCCTCCTCCGATCTAAAGGCATCATGTACAGATGGAAAATACAGCGCACGCTAGGTCTGCGACCTTCAGGAGGCACGGGCTCTTTTCCCCACTCTGGGGAAACCAAAGGATGCTCTGACCATGGCACAACCAGGCCCTACTACCTCTCCACCCCACACATGAGACTCAGCAGCAGTGATCCTGTTCATACCTCGGGGAGCAACATCTCCTAGAGGCATGCAAAGACAGACTTGCAGTTAACCCTCACTGGGTTGGTTAAACTCACTGGTTGCACTTCCCAAGTTTACGTTTTTATTTTCTTGCTTTCTTAACTTGTTGTTATGATTTATGCTAACGCTATGCGCAGAGACCACTGTCGACACGAACCACCTGACGGATAAGACTCACCTCCACTACCACTACCTTACACAAATAAGGTATTACACTGCAACATAGCACCCCTAAACACACCCAAACCCACACAACACAAGGGCGACACTCCAACGGCGGTACTAACTAACACAGATGGGACACGCAGACAATCACACTAGACCCAGCCAGGGAATCGCAATACCCTGACAGGATACCACAAGCCCGCAAAACTCTAAGGCCTTAGAGGGGACCAACACCAAACTCAGGCACCAACGGTATCAAAGGAGTCTCAGAGACCACATGGACTATCACAACCAGACCCCAGGCTCCACACCACACACACACATCTGACAGACTCACCTCACATAGTCAAAACCCTACCCACACGCCAGAAGGCATTAACCACACGCCAGAATGCATTAACCACGAGCAATACTTCCCAACGTACGACGGGTCCTTCAGTCCCAGACCACACTTCACTTAACACACGGACTCCTCATCCCTTGGACAATCGGCCCCCATCTATGGGCTTAGAATGACGAGTAAAGTGCCAAGACTGCAGATTCTACAAAGCTGTGCATGATTACTGCTCTATCATATGTAATATTACTCTATATGTACTTTGCCACCCGCATAGTTAGTCTCCGCGACAGCAGGCCAGCATGATAATCTCACACAAAATACTCCTCGACAACCCGTATGCTGCCAACATTAGCTGGTAATATACCCTACCACACCATCTGAAGTGAATTACCTACAAAGCTCAGTGGTATTCTAATATGATAGATTCAGTTCACCTAGTATATCTGTAGGCTCAATAGAACTCCTACTTTACAGTTAGTCTTACGAGGCATCAAGCTCCTGTTAAGTTCCGTAGATAGCTAACTTTAAAATGCGGGTCGGCGTCTTAACACCTTCCTTTTCCAAACTATATGTGATAAACTAGCCTGAACGACATAAATACTACAAATAAATGTGCAATCTCACTAGAAGCCATGTTGTTGATTTCTGATATGTTGCTTTATTGCTGGCATGAGCTATCATGGCTATACCAGGCGGTTTGTAATATTACGCACAACAAAAATAAAGAATTTAAAAAAAAAAGAAGAAAAACTACCACAACAAGAGGACATAGTCTTAAACTAGAGGTGCAAAGGTTTAAAAATAATATCAGGAATATTAGTTTACTGAGATGGTAGTGGATGCATGGAATAGCCTTACAGCTGAAGTGGTAGAGGTTAACACAGTAAAGGATTTTAAGCATGCGTGGGATAGGCATAAGGCTATCCTAACTATAAGATAAGGCTAGGGACTAATGAAAGTATTTAGAAAATTGGGCAGACTAGGTGGGCCAAATGGTTCTTATCTGCCATCACATTCTATGAGTTACCTTTTGTCAAGCGTATCATTTCTATCTACTGGAAGATCCCCTTGTCTCGCATTATCCTCAATAGGCCTCAGTGCTATATCCACACAAATGCATGAAAGAGCAATACTGACATCCACTCCTTGCAGCTAAAGTGCCAAGAGCTGAAGAGGATATGGAGCCCATGAAGGATAGTGGAGCCCATGAAGGATAGGTTCTTGTAAGTAAACCTGACTTTTCCCTGCCCACCTCGGCCACTGGATACCCAGCAGTGATTTTCAGGGGGCTTTGCAAATTATGGGCAACCTGCATGCATTTTAAGACTTAAGATAACTTACCTTGCTTCATTTTTTCCAATTAAATCATTTCTGCAGGTAAATCCTACTCATTTTAATTTAGCTTTTTTTTTTATTATTATTATTTTTAATTATAATTTTTTTTGCATAATTCTAATGCATTATCTACATATTTAAAAAGAAAATAGCCAAATGCTGTGAATAACTTCATGTTGCCTTATTACAGTAAATGATGTAAAAAACTGGAAATACAAAACATTGAGGAAAATCCTTGTGGAACAGCTGAGCAGAAACCAGAAACACATAACTAGGGTCTTGTGCTTAGAATAATCCAGTGACTCGCTTTTATATCAGAGGAGGCTAAGAACCTGGAGTAAGTACTTAAACCATAGATGCTCTATTCTGTCTCATAAACATCAGAAGATGAACACACATCCTTGGTGAAGATTTCTATATGTTGTGCTATGATGATGCACTCAAACAGCAGGTTTCCCCTTATATACTGAGTACATTGTGCATGTGGTGCTCTGCTCATTTTTACATATCACCAGTCCCCTTGGACTATTTATGATGACATATTTGTAAAACCACTGGTCTTTAAGGAGTTTTAGTGAAACCAAGATCCAACAGACTGATTGCATTACAGTTATTGACATTTCCTCACCTCCTAGTAACCGTACATACTTCACTGCTTAAATTTTAATATGAATGAGTTCTTGAAGCATATGGAACACAATCTGCTGTCATCCGCCTGTATCTGTACAATGTCAATGCATGATCATTTAGCTATTCTGAGTGCAATATTAAAATGTTCACAGTGATCTAACCAAACAATGATTTGATCTGTTCAATCTTAATGTACCCAAATAAAACACGTCCATATGACTAGGAGTTGTTACTAGCAAAATATAGACACAGTTAAAGACAATGACATTACCTTGAGCCCTCAGAAGAACATCAGCCTGTTGAAAGAATAATCCAACATTCCACACAGAGATCACAATTCTCAAAAATAAATGGATGTTCTCTCCAGAGACCGGATGGACGTATATGTTACTCAGTGGGTAATGTCACATAGTAATGGATTCCCTACAAGGGAAAGGCTTAATGAATCCTGACAGCTGCAGCTCTGGGCACAAACTGAAACATCTCATCTCTTGTCAGGTCGCAGCATTCTTGAGAGAAGCCAAGTGAGGGCTTCAGTTGACTTGCTTCTCGTATTGTACCTAAAGAATACGTGTTTTAATGCATACATATAATTACACATTTATACACTTTTTATTCAACAACAGTATATTGAAAACATATATAGATTATTATATATATAAAAATATTTGTTATATATAATTATTACAAGCACTATAAAACCATATACTTTACTTCCAACTATTAACAGTAATGACATTTTTATCTAAAAATCTATTTAAAAAAAACCAAAAACATTAGAAAAGAGATTATGGACAGAAATACCCAAGCCCATTCTGCCTAATTTATTTAAACATTAAAAAAAGTAAGTACTCCCTATATAACTCTTCAATATCTTAAAAACCCTTATAGACAGAATTTTAGACTCAAGTCCATTGATTTTAACTTTTAACCCCTTAAGGACACAATTTCAGAAATAAAGGGGAATCATGACGGAATATTTCCGTCATGTGTCCTTAAGGGGTTAAAACACAACTTTTTATGCTGTTGATCTATGACAGTGCTCAAGTACCCCCTAACAGTCCAGGACTTAGGGATCCCCCAGTAATGACAAGGTGTTTTTAGAAAAAGAAAAAAAAACACCTTAGACCAGGGGTTCTCAACGTTAGTCCTCAGGACCCCCTACCAGTCCAGGGTTTAGGGATTACCTGGGTGTGTCTAAGGTGTTTAGAAAAAGAAAAAAAAACACCTTAGAGTCTAAGGTGTTTTTTCCCCCTTTTTCTAAACACCTTAGACACACCCAGGTAATCCCCTGGTAGGGGGTCCCGAGGACTGGGGGGACCTGGATTGGTATGGGGTACTTGAGGACTGGGTTGGGAACCCCTGATCTACGAGAATGAGGTGAAAAAACACAATTTGAAGCAATATCCAATTATGCCACAACAAAAAGGGAAAAATATAAAAATTAAGAAAAATACCCACGATCTACATTTCGTCCTTTGATTATCTACAAATTGTTAACTTTACTCAGTTAGTGATAGCTCACCTCATTACTGCGACTAAGCAAACATAATAAAGAACCTGTGGAGACACATAGATCATGTTCACATTCAATAATTCTTTTGTGTTCTTCTGTACATAACTCTCTACATTATAACAGCTTAATATTGGGACTGTCCAAGCTGGCAGTGCATTTCCTGGATCTGGACCTGTCAAATTTACATGGAGAGGATCTGCACCACATACATTTTCCAGAGTGTGGATCATACCATGTTATACCATAGGATCCACTATCAAGGCTCCTAAATATGTAAGTGTATATCTATATACCTACTTAACCTTGGAATTTTAAGCTCAAAATACTGCACTATATTATTTTATTCTATTCTCCTTTTAATATAACTATGAATCTATTTACCTCAACAAGTACAATTCGCAGAACAAGTGCCACATCCCTTAGGTAGCGATTATTGCGCCTGGATGCTTAGATTGGAACTGGATGTGAACTCCTAAAAGGTACAAATGCACATTTTCTTACGACTTGTATTCCTCACCAGTACGTCTAGACTATTAGTTCCTGTAACTTCTCTTCTTGTCATTATATATATATATATATATCCTAAGGGCAGCCTAGGCGCTACATCAACCCTCCTGTATTTACTTGACTTTTATCCTACTGGACAAGAGAGACACCGGATTTGGGTGTTAAGCTGTCAAATTATTATAAAAGCACTGAATTTCACTAATTTTCTACATGTGTATTACTACCTAAAAAAAAAATTAGCTGAAACAGAGAGATTCACCAAGGTATCAAAAATGCAATAAGGATTAGTAGAATCTGCGTTTGTTGCTTCTGGTGTTCCCCTGAGTCCAGCAATTCTGGAAGAGCAGCACTGATTATATTAAAAACCCTCTAGCATCTTTGTCATTCCAAAAGCTGCGTTATTTCATTAATTTGGTATTTTGTCCACCGCAATTAGACAACACAAAAACTATGTCCAAATTATTCTGGATTCCGTCAGGAAATGCATATTACATAAAATATGTTGTAAATTAAGGGCAGGAGGGAGAAAACACCTATTTATTTCTTATCTCGCTTGCCTGATTTAAATATTTAGAACTAAAGAGTTTGAAAAAAATATTTTGTGTTTCATGATATGTGCTATTGTATTTAGGTGGCAGTCTGACTGTTTTCTTGCTTGTTTTTTTGTTTTTGTTTATTTATTTTTTTAAAGAAAGAAGCTTCAATTGTATTCACACAACTATAAATGTAAAATTTTAACTGAAATATCCTGGAATTAGTCACTACTCACATTAGAGAACTCCAAAACTATTGCAAGGATTGTAACCCACAGTGACAGATTTACATAGAAAATTGGGAGTTATGAATGAAACACTGAAATACTTGTTTTTCTCCCCACAGCTAACATGCTTAAAACTCTTCCAAATATATCAAGTGTAGAAAAGGATTAGGAGAGATGCGGAGAATGTCCATGTTCAGCTGTATTTTAAATTAGCTATCGGGGAGGCATGAGTTTACAAAGCAGTCTATATTTAGATAGGATTACAAAGCATTGCTGAAAGAGGCTCTGGATGGGATGATCAGAAGCCATTGAAGTTATTTGCTGCTGCTGTTCGATAAAATCTGTCACAAATATCTAAATGTGATAAATGGTCTGGCAATGCGGTGTTTACCACTGATGTATGCAGTAGGAAATAGTTGTCTTTGGACAGATCCCAGTCATGGAAAACAAACAGAGATTAAGTGGCATTGCTTTTCCTGAATACTGGTTTCTGCTATGGGTTTGTGAATAATATGTTATTAAATCCTGATAAACCCATATACCCCCAACTGCTTTATAAAACTTATATCGAAAACTATTGTGCAGCCCACCTCCCCTCAACCGCACATCAATTTAAATTTTCACCCTCCCCTTTTTTTTCTCTCAACACTCCCCCTTTACATTTTATGAATACTTTCCACTGCTCTCAATTCATCATATAACCTCCTTTAATTCTTAACTTAATACACTTCCCTTCTGTTCGACTTTTAGAGGTACCTTGAAGTAGATTTGATGGCAAATATTTACCAACCACCTAATCTTTGATTTACGATTCCCTTGTGTTGGCACAGAATAAACGGCTCATGTTAATTATTAAATGTTTATTGACATTATTTCTTTCTATAAAATGTTATTGGCTTAAAAAATGGTGTGACTTCTAAAATGATAACATCTGAGTTACACCAGTTGCCTAAATACGTAACTTATCTTCCCATAATGGCGGGGTCTTATCACAGCCTGGTTACACATGCCACTAAGAAATCTCCACAAACTATCCATTTTCTGGTCGATCCTTTGCCTTCAATAGCACACTATAATATAAAGTCTGACATTTTTAGCTTCTGAAATAAACCTCCAGAACATTATCTGTACCTTATATTCCTGGATGGGAATTAATGGCACACTGATGAAACAGGAGACATATTTCAATGACAAAATATCCCAGGTCAAAGCAGACATCCAACACTTGGGTTCCTGCGTAAAAAGATCTTGAGGATGACAGATAGTGTATTTATTTTCATCATATATGCCATGAACACTCAGCTCACTAACCAAGCACAACCAGGGCCGTCTTTAATAACGAATGGACCCTGGGCAAGTGTTTGCTTGGGCCCCCTGTGCCCTGCCGCTCTCGCCCCTCACTCCCTGGTATGCAATCACGGCATCCATCCCAACGCAGTGGCGGTACTAAAGTAGAATGAATTTTATTGGGACCCCCAATTGCAAGGTTGGACTAAAGGTAGAACCCCATCTGTCGTGCAACTCCAACAATGCTTTGACAGCTGGGACTCTACCAATTTCCCATGCTTGCAGGGTTGTATTTAGCACTGAGCCATGTTTGTATGTTTGAATGTAAGCATGTGTTTGTATGGAGTATGTTTGTGTGAATGTGTTTGTATGTGGTACTGGAGTTTGAATGCAAGTGTGCATTTATGTGTAGTGTTTGTTTTTGAATGTAGGAGTGTGCTTGTATGTAGTGTTGACGTTTCAATGCAGGAGTGTGTTTTATATGTAGTGTTGAAGTTTGAATGGAGGGGTGTATTTGTATTTAAAGTTGCGGCTCAGATGCACAGGTACACACTCTGACGCACAAGCAGATACACAGATACATACACTGACTACATACAGATAAACAGGCACATACACTGACAGACACACTGACACAGGTACATATATTGACACACACACAGACACATACACTGGTAGACGTACTGACAGACATACTGACACAGGCACATATACAGACATACTGACACACAGACACATATACCGACATACTGACACACACACACAGACACATACACTGATCAACATACTGACACACATACACTGACAGAAATACTGACACCCACACACTGACAGATATACTGACACCCACATACACTGAGAAATACTGACACACACACACAGGCACATACACTGACACACACAGACTGATATACTGACACACACACACACAGACATACTGGCACACAGACAGATATACTGACACATGCATACACATGCACTAACAGACATACTGACGCACTGACAGACATACTGACACATACACATACTGACACACACAGATATACACACACATATATACCGACACACAGACAGACAGACATACTGACACACACACACAGACATACTGACACACACACAGACATGCTGACACACATACACATACACTAACACACACATACACTAACACACAGATACACTAACACACAAACACACACACTAACACACATACACTAACACACAAACACACACACACACACTAACACACATACACTAACACACAAACACACACACACACTAACACACATACACAAACACACACACTAACACACACACTAACGCACATACACTAACACACAAACACACACACTAACACACAT